TGTGGTGTGTCCTTTTTCTCTTTTGCTTGTGGCAGTGGTAGTGGAAGCCACTTGAACTTCGGGATTGAGCACTCAGCACTCAGGTGCCGCCAGGTCCAGTCCGGAATTCAGGACTCGCCCTGCCCACTTTCAGTTCCTGCTTTTCAATTAAAAATTGTTTTTCACTACATTTGAGTTGATTGATTTTTAATTGATTTCAATTGAGCAAGACTCCTCTGGCTAAGGGGTTTTCCTCTTTCGAGCACGGAGGTGAAGTGGTAAAGAAAGCACCCGGGGTGCAGAACAGCACAGCACAGCACAGCACAGAAGCTTTTAAGACGCCTCCAGAGGACAAGGAAATTTGAAGAGCCAGACACGGACTATGGCTATTTTTTGTATTACTTTGCATACCCTCTCGATGAGTGGAATAAAGTCCCAGGAGCTAAGGCTATTGGAATTACTCGAAGCCGTAAGATTACGCCACTTTTGTTTTGTAATACCAGTCCCCGTCGTCGATTGCATTCATATAAAATGTGCCGCCGATTTTCCTACCTTCAATGCGCCACTTGTATGCACTTTGTACGGCATAAGAGTATTCTTGATTTGGTGTTTGGGCTTAAAGCTTTTTGCCTACCGCATTCCTTATTTATTATTGACAACACGCTCCGTAAACTCCCCCAACTTCCCCATCACCCGTAGAAACCCCTCCGTAAACTCATTGCTCTGCAGAGCACCCACAGGATGCAAATTGCATGAGCGGTGTCTGCGGCTTTTGTGGCTCGGCTCATAAATTCTTAACGAGGATTTTTGGCATTTGAATAAAAAACGAGGGGCAGCCCGATGGGAAGTGCAGTCTCGAAATGGAATGAAACAAAATGAAATTTCAAATTAGAAACTAAAGTGGAATGTTGTTAAGTGAATTTTAATTTGCCATTAACACATGCGGGGGAAGTATTTTATAACGCATCCGGTGCTGAAGGCTTTCGAAAAAAGGGTTGAAAAGGCGGAACAAAAGGCGACAAGGCACAGGCGAACTTGCGACAAAGTTTGTGCTGGAAACAAAACGGGTGGGAGGGGGTGAATGTAACAGCCTGGCTTTTTCAGCCACAACAACAACGGAAAGTGAAACAAAAAATTAAAAACAAAAACAAAAGCTAAAGCGAGAAGCAAGAACAGCAGCAACCCTTTGTTTGTCATAATATATTTGCTACAGGCTGGCAAAAATTGAAGTTAAGTGGGGTTTTTCGCAGATAGATTACGATTAAGGTTGGCCAGGGGATATCATTTACAGGGAAGTTGAATCGGACGCAATCTTTTTTAAGGTGAAACAAGGTGAAACAGGATATTGTATATATAGTATAAACAAAGTATATTTTTTAAAGGACCCAGAAATGGTGTTTTATAATCCAAATGATGTCATGGTAGTTCCTTCGGCTTATGAATTAAATTAGACCTTAGGATTCGTGCTTATGCATTACTTCCTGCATAACTTAAATATTAGATCTCCGGACAGATAACGATGATTGATCAAAATCTGCTTCCCATGCCACGTGCTGCATAAGTGACATTTGGCTAGTAATTTGTTCTCCAAAACGGAGCCAGTCAGCAGTCAGCAGACGGCTTCGTTGTGGTTGATTCTGGATTCTGGGGACTGGGGACTGGGAACTTGGGACTGGGGACTTGGAACTGGGGTGTCGCTTGTTACCTGTTAAATTTATGGCAGAAGCTGTCAATATGTGCCTGTGTGCGTCGGTCCTGCGTTTCACAGATTTTCCCCGTTTTCCCCAAACGTTTTCCACCCATTCTACTCCTTGCTCCCCGGTGCTTTTTCTGCTTTTCCGCTTTTCGTTTTTGTTCCTTGCCTTGAAATATGACAGAGCAGGAAAAGGACATGCAAAGGGGCGTTGGGCTGGACTGGGCTGGGCTGGAAAAAGGGGGCGGGGCAGTGGGAAGTTATGGGCTACACATGTTGCTGTCTAATGTTGTTGTTTATGTGCCATTGTGCCGTTGCTGGAATGTGTAAGTAAGAAAATTGTTTTTGAAATGGCTAACAAGCTATTAGCAAACAAACAAAGGCAAAATGATGATGATGAGAGGGGTCGGTTGGCGTTTAGGGAGTGAGCCTCTTGGCTTACAGATTTTCCTCCACTTTTTTATACTTGTAGGGGGATGTGACACTTTTTTTTATACAAACAAGAGAAAAAAATGATTTATGGAACTATCAAACGCAAGGCTAACTGCAAATCAAGACAACAAAAGCAGAGTTCCTCAGGACAGCACAAATATCGTGTGGTGATGATCTCATAAATCAGAACAATGCTGGGAAAACATCAACAATTTTAAGATTGCTGGCTATTTTATGGAAGATACCAGAAGCAGTGTACAGAATAAAATATTTCTCGATATCATAAGGGCTTTTATAACCTAGCGATTGACTAGAGTAGCTTAACGTGATTTATGTGTTGGCAAGACTTGTATAATTGCAGTGGGCAGTAAAAGGTAAATGATGTTGGGGCTCGGCAGCAGTACCCATTATTGTTACATACAAATATTACAAGTATTTTATGAATTGACCCTTTAACCTATTGGCCTTTTTTCCCCATAGAACCTCTTTATATTTTCGCTGACCAACGGTTTGGTCTCACAATTTTACCTTTGGGGCAGCAGCACTTGGCGCTGAGAAGGGGCCAAACAAATGACAACCTAAATTATTTTGACACCATTACCGAAAGTGGACTGGGTGTGGATGTGGGTGTGGGTGTGGATGTGGGTGTGGATGTGGGTGGAACAACAGTCGCACTCAATGAACAAAAGCTGACAAAACTCAAGTGGGGGGATATAGAGGGGCTATACTCGTATGCTCGTATAGGCAAGGCCCAGACATCCAGACGTAGCAACATATTGTGCCGTGCTTGTTGCAGGAAAAGATGGGGCCAGACGGAGGGGGAGCGCTTCTGGGAAGTGGAGGAAGTGCTCGGCAAGGAGAGAGGAGTCCAACTGTCTGTCTGTCTGTCTGCCACCCACACCATCCCCATCCCCATCCCCATCCCCTCTACCTCTACGTGCAAGAATGAGGCTGGAAAATGCGAAAAAAGAAGAGGGAAAGCCGGGAAACACTGGGAGGGGACAGCAACACAGCAGCAGAGGAGCACGGCAGCACAGGAGCTCGCGAGCTATGCTGCAAATTGCCAGTTAAAATTTTGCTGACATGTCAGCAGCAAACGTCAAACGCACCATGGGATTGGGACCCACTGCCTCCGAAAGGGAGCGAGAGAGAGGGCGTGAGGCGGGCAGAAAGAGACGGCTGGCTGGGGGCCACAGAGACAGAGGAGGCCCACTTGATGGAGATGGAGACAAGTGTCAAGTGGAGTTGTACGAGATTTGTTTCGATTTTGTTTAGCCTCGTGCAGCGGGTGTCGCCATCGATGGGTGTTGAAACTATGAAGCGAAGCAATTGCTATATCGATCGACTGTCTATCGATAATCAAGGGAAAATGTGAAATCAAGGCTTATGAGAAGAAATGTCATTATGTAGGGCAAGACTGATTTCGAGGGAACCGGAAACTCCGAGTGATGAAGATTCGAATTTGATAGTACTTGGAGAATTCGATACATTTCTCAATATTTATATTTATATTTGCAATGTTTTGAGCTGATATTAAGATATCTTGAGCATCAGCACATACTAGAGAACATGTTTACGGCGATTAAAGAGTGTGCACACAGGCGAACAAACTAGGAGGTTGAATTGCGAGGCAAGTCTATTTGAACCAGGGCCAAGAAACGACCTTCGGTTGCCAAACGCTGGGTAAATATTTGCTCAGAGCCCTGCCTGATCGAAGCCAAATTGAAAACCAAACATTGAAATCCCACCGTTTACTCATTCAGTCAGTCGGTCATTCAATCAATGAGCCAAGGGCAGCGCTTAATAAACTCTGAGCGTGTCGAAAAACGTGAAGCAAAACTGCATTTCAATGTGGGGAAGATATACTCGTGTGTACGCATATAATAATGATGGTTTTGCGAAGTTAATAATAACGATGGTTGTATGTAGGATGGAGTATATAGTGACCCGATAGCTGGAAAAAACCGCCATCAGATTTTCAAGTATGCAGAGCACCAGCACGCGTACCGCAACATAAATTAAAAGCAAATATCAAAAAACTGAACTGAAAACTAAAGCAAAGTGTGATAAAATGTCATTGAAATGTCAGTTCAATGAGGTGGGTGAGATGGCCTTAAAGCGGGTAGAACTGAACGAGTGAGCACTTGACTTCCGTCGCTCGGGTTATGACAGATTTATAGGCTCTGCCAATGAGTTGTGGGCATTTAATGGAAGTGCAGTTAACAATTTTGCATAAATGGCCGAAATGAAGGAAAAACCTGCCCGCCTGGCATTGATGTATGCAAAGGCCTAATTTCAATTTTGGCATACTTTTTGAATTCTGGCACCCAGTAACAAGTTAGAAAAAAAAAGAAAAACACCTTTTATTCAAGTAGCTTAAAATCATTCCCGATTCCTTGTTCAGTTCAACCCTCCGTCAAATCCCCAGCTAATTATCCTCACTCACGAGCAGCGGGAAATCTGGAAAATTCCACGTCAACATGGAACATGTCTCCGATTCCGATTCTGATTCCGATTGCCAAATTGTCAACCCTCGTCTTGGCTGACTTTTTCCCTAAAAGCCATCCACAGCTAACAGAAGGCGAGCTGCCTTCTGTTTTTCCTGCGCTTTTCCCCCACTTCCCCTCCCCCTGCCCTTTGCACAACCCATCGCTTTTCCCTGTTCGCAACTGGAGTGGCTTTGTTTTTATTGTCGCCTGTCGCCTTACAATTGATACATTGATAAATGATGTGGCCGACACTCGGCACTCGACGCCCGACGCTAATTTTGTGTGACAAACAGTTACATGTCAATCCTCCTGTTTCCTCCTTGCGACTTTGAGTCCTTGGCGTCGCTCCCTGGTCCTTGGACGGCAGGGAAAGCCTCTTGGCGGGTTTCCCCGAATCCCGCCCGATTTTCCTTATTTGGTTTAGGTTTCACTATAAGTCATGGCGCGACATTGTGTTGCGAGATGTCGTGGTAGTCAACGTTCACTTAACCAACGGTCGATATAAATAAATTACCCAATCATTTTTTCCTGGGTATTTGCAGTTTCGTCAACATAATAAACAGCCTTTGAACACCGAAGAGAATTTCAGTAAAAATGGGGCTTAACTATGGGGTTTAATTGGCACTGCTTATCTCGAGTGTGAACCAAAATGACTGCCTATCCAATCTTCCTGTTGCATCCTTTTTCATTGATTCCGGTAAAGATCGAGATCCGTCACGGAACCGGAAACTGGGATCCTTTGCAAATGACCTGCCCGGAACTGAGCCTGGAGCATGGCCAAAACCTGCATGTGACGATGCAGTTCTTCGGGCATTTCGACCCCATCGAAATCCGGCGGCACGTGAATGTAGCGAGCCAAAAAGCGTATATGCGGCTGGATTAATTTGTACCACGACGATTGCTCTAAGGGATCGTAGGGAGTACCTTGAACGCCTGGCGCCGGCACCACCGCTAACCGGTTGCTACTACTCCTACTGGCAGAAAGATTCAGAGTGAGCCCATTATGCTATGCGGGCGGCTTATGCGATTCTTTATTGATCTCACCCGCTAGAGATACTTCGGTTCAGAGTACCCAATGCAGCGAGCAGCAGTGGAATGATTAGACCTAGACCCAGACAAATGACCAACAGCAGGATGGCGGACATCGCGACTTTCAGATTACTAAGCGAGTGTATGGGGATGAGGTGGAGACACAGGGAAACAGGGAATTTCGTATTTTGATTTGACAATTATAACCTGAATTTGGAAAATGTTTGAATTGTATATGGTGTGTGCCCAGTCAAGTCAACGTAAACGTAAACAACTTTTGGCAAATATTCGATATTTTCGATGGGCATTTTCATCACAACTTCCATAAAAATGATCAAAAAGATGAAAGAATAACAGTTTTGAGCAGCTAATTACCAACGCTAACCATCCCTATCACTTTTTGGCGGATTTTGGAATATCATTTTTTTTGTGATTTTTTGCCTTTTTTTGTAGGGGTGACATCAACAAAATTTGCAAAAAATGTCAAAAAAATTAAGTTTTTATTTTTGGATACAGTTTGATAGGAAATTTAAATACGAGCTCAACGATGTATGACATTCCATATTCAGACAATTATTTTTAAAGTTGTGGCCAAAAAACGGATTATTTTATGTCGGAAAATCGGAAAAAACGACTTTTGGCAAATATTCCATATTTTCGATGGGCATTTTCATCATAACTTCCATAAAAATGATCAAAAAGATGAAAGAATAACAGTTTTGAGCAGCTAATTACCAACGCTAACCATCCCTATCACTTTTTGGCGGATTTTGGAAAATCAATTTTTTTGTGATTTTTTGCCTTTTTTTGTAGGGGTGACATCAACAAAATTTGCAAAAAATGTCAAAAAAATTAAGTTTTTATTTTTGGATACAGTTTGATAGGAAATTTAAATACGAGCTCAACGATGTATGACATTCCATATTCAGACAATTATTTTTAAAGTTGTGGCCAAAAAACGGATTATTTTATGTCGGAAAATCGGAAAAACGACTTTTGGCAAATATTCCATATTTTCGATGGGCATTTTCATCATAACTTCCATAAAAATGATCAAAAAGATGAAAGAATAACAGTTTTGAGCAGCTAATTACCAACGCTAACCATCCCTATCACTTTTTGGCGGATTTTGGAAAATCAATTTTTTTGTGATTTTTTGCCTTTTTTTGTAGGGGTGACATCAACAAAATTTGCAAAAAATGTCAAAAAAATTAAGTTTTTATTTTTGGATACAGTTTGATAGGAAATTTAAATACGAGCTCAACGATGTATGACATTCCATATTCAGACAATTATTTTTAAAGTTGTGGCCAAAAAACGGATTATTTTATGTCGGAAAATCGGAAAAACGACTTTTGGCAAATATTCCATATTTTCGATGGGCATTTTCATCATAACTTCCATAAAAATGATCAAAAAGATGAAAGAATAACAGTTTTGAGCAGCTAATTACCAACGCTAACCATCCCTATCACTTTTTGGCGGATTTTGGAAAATCAATTTTTTTGTGATTTTTTGCCTTTTTTTGTAGGGGTGACATCAACAAAATTTGCAAAAAATGTCAAAAAAATTAAGTTTTTATTTTTGGATACAGTTTGATAGGAAATTTAAATACGAGCTCAACGATGTATGACATTCCATATTCAGACAATTATTTTTAAAGTTGTGGCCAAAAAACGGATTATTTTATGTCGGAAAATCGGAAAAACGACTTTTGGCAAATATTCCATATTTTCGATGGGCATTTTCATCATAACTTCCATAAAAATGATCAAAAGGATGAAGGAATGACAGTTTTGAACAGCTAATTACCAACGCTAACCATACCTATCACTTTTTGGCGGATTTTGGAAAATCAATTTTTTTTGTGATTTTTTGCCTTTTTTTGTAGGGGTGACATCAACAAAATTTGAAAAAAATGTCAAAAAAATTAAATTTTTATTTTTGGATACAGTTTAATTGGAAATTTAAATACGAGCTCAACGATGTATGACATTCCATATTCAGACAATTATTTTTAAAGTTGTGGCCAAAAAACGGATTATTTTATGTCGGAAAATCGGAAAAAACGACTTTTGGCAAATATTCCATATTTTCGATGGGCATTTTCATCATAACTTCCATAAAAATGATCAAAAGGATGAAGGAATGACAGTTTTGAACAGCTAATTACCAACGCTAACCATACCTATCACTTTTTGGCGGATTTTGGAAAATCAATTTTTTTTGTGATTTTTTGCCTTTTTTTGTAGGGGTGACATCAACAAAATTTGAAAAAAATGTCAAAAAAATTAAATTTTTATTTTTGGATACAGTTTAATTGGAAATTTAAATACGAGCTCAACGATGTATGACATTCCATATTCAGACAATTATTTTTAAAGTTGTGGCCAAAAAACGGATTATTTTATGTCGGAAAATCGGAAAAACGACTTTTGGCAAATATTCCATATTTTCGATGGGCATTTTCATCATAACTTCCATAAAAATGATCAAAAAGATGAAAGAATAACAGTTTTGAGCAGCTAATTACCAACGCTAACCATCCCTATCACTTTTTGGCGGATTTTGGAATATCATTTTTTTTGTGATTTTTTGCCTTTTTTTGTAGGGGTGACATCAACAAAATTTGCAAAAAATGTCAAAAAAATTAAGTTTTTATTTTTGGATACAGTTTGATAGGAAATTTAAATACGAGCTCAACGATGTATGACATTCCATATTCAGACAATTATTTTTAAAGTTGTGGCCAAAAAACGGATTATTTTATGTCGGAAAATCGGAAAAACGACTTTTGGCAAATATTCCATATTTTCGATGGGCATTTTCATCATAACTTCCATAAAAATGATCAAAAAGATGAAAGAATAACAGTTTTGAGCAGCTAATTACCAACGCTAACCATCCCTATCACTTTTTGGCGGATTTTGGAATATCATTTTTTTTGTGATTTTTTGCCTTTTTTTGTAGGGGTGACATCAACAAAATTTGCAAAAAATGTCAAAAAAATTAAGTTTTTATTTTTGGATACAGTTTGATAGGAAATTTAAATACGAGCTCAACGATGTATGACATTCCATATTCAGACAATTATTTTTAAAGTTGTGGCCAAAAAACGGATTATTTTATGTCGGAAAATCGGAAAAACGACTTTTGGCAAATATTCCATATTTTCGATGGGCATTTTCATCATAACTTCCATAAAAATGATCAAAAAGATGAAAGAATAACAGTTTTGAGCAGCTAATTACCAACGCTAACCATCCCTATCACTTTTTGGCGGATTTTGGAAAATCAATTTTTTTGTGATTTTTTGCCTTTTTTTGTAGGGGTGACATCAACAAAATTTGCAAAAAATGTCAAAAAAATTAAGTTTTTATTTTTGGATACAGTTTGATAGGAAATTTAAATACGAGCTCAACGATGTATGACATTCCATATTCAGACAATTATTTTTAAAGTTGTGGCCAAAAAACGGATTATTTTATGTCGGAAAATCGGAAAAACGACTTTTGGCAAATATTCCATATTTTCGATGGGCATTTGCATCATAACTTCCATAAAAATGATCAAAAAGATGAAAGAATAACAGTTTTGAGCAGCTAATTACCAACGCTAACCATCCCTATCACTTTTTGGCGGATTTTGGAAAATCAATTTTTTTGTGATTTTTTGCCTTTTTTTGTAGGGGTGACATCAACAAAATTTGCAAAAAATGTCAAAAAAATTAAGTTTTTATTTTTGGATACAGTTTGATAGGAAATTTAAATACGAGCTCAACGATGTATGACATTCCATATTCAGACAATTATTTTTAAAGTTGTGGCCAAAAAACGGATTATTTTATGTCGGAAAATCGGAAAAACGACTTTTGGCAAATATTCCATATTTTCGATGGGCATTTTCATCATAACTTCCATAAAAATGATCAAAAGGATGAAGGAATGACAGTTTTGAACAGCTAATTACCAACGCTAACCATACCTATCACTTTTTGGCGGATTTTGGAAAATCAATTTTTTTTGTGATTTTTTGCCTTTTTTTGTAGGGGTGACATCAACAAAATTTGAAAAAAATGTCAAAAAAATTAAATTTTTATTTTTGGATACAGTTTAATTGGAAATTTAAATACGAGCTCAACGATGTATGACATTCCATATTCAGACAATTATTTTTAAAGTTGTGGCCAAAAAACGGATTATTTTATGTCGGAAAATCGGAAAAACGACTTTTGGCAAATATTCCATATTTTCGATGGGCATTTTCATCATAACTTCCATAAAAATGATCAAAAAGATGAAAGAATAACAGTTTTGAGCAGCTAATTACCAACGCTAACCATCCCTATCACTTTTTGGCGGATTTTGGAATATCATTTTTTTTGTGATTTTTTGCCTTTTTTTGTAGGGGTGACATCAACAAAATTTGCAAAAAATGTCAAAAAAATTAAGTTTTTATTTTTGGATACAGTTTGATAGGAAATTTAAATACGAGCTCAACGATGTATGACATTCCATATTCAGACAATTATTTTTAAAGTTGTGGCCAAAAAACGGATTATTTTATGTCGGAAAATCGGAAAAACGACTTTTGGCAAATATTCCATATTTTCGATGGGCATTTTCATCATAACTTCCATAAAAATGATCAAAAGGATGAAGGAATGACAGTTTTGAACAGCTAATTACCAACGCTAACCATACCTATCACTTTTTGGCGGATTTTGGAAAATCAATTTTTTTTGTGATTTTTTGCCTTTTTTTGTAGGGGTGACATCAACAAAATTTGAAAAAAATGTCAAAAAAATTAAATTTTTATTTTTGGATACAGTTTAATTGGAAATTTAAATACGAGCTCAACGATGTATGACATTCCATATTCAGACAATTATTTTTAAAGTTGTGGCCAAAAAACGGATTATTTTATGTCGGAAAATCGGAAAAACGACTTTTGGCAAATATTCCATATTTTCGATGGGCATTTTCATCATAACTTCCATAAAAATGATCAAAAAGATGAAAGAATAACAGTTTTGAGCAGCTAATTACCAACGCTAACCATCCCTATCACTTTTTGGCGGATTTTGGAATATCATTTTTTTTGTGATTTTTTGCCTTTTTTTGTAGGGGTGACATCAACAAAATTTGCAAAAAATGTCAAAAAAATTAAGTTTTTATTTTTGGATACAGTTTGATAGGAAATTTAAATACGAGCTCAACGATGTATGACATTCCATATTCAGACAATTA